CTGGGCCAAGCTCAGCGATGAAGAAGCAACTGGCTTCAGGGAGCAGACAACGAAGTTTCGGCGCTGTGGAGGTAAAGTGGGTTTGGCCTGATACGCCCATTTGGCGATAGGATTAGAATCAAGCGAGAAAGAAGAGAGATTCATGGTGTGAGTAAAGAACAAGGGTCAATCGTAGAGAGAAGAAAGAGAAAACCCAATAATGCGAAGGGAAGCTGGAGAATTTTAGTGGGTAAAGGAATTTACAGGAGGGTTTTTGAGGGGTGAAGGAAAGATTGCTATGGGAGATCTTGTTCAGAGGTATCCATGGATCCGTAAGTACATGTTTGCCCTTCAACTCGGAAGTTTGACTCAACTTTATTAGGTCTTTTGAATTACAGGCGTGCAAGCGGGTTTTATGTTATTTTGCTTTTTCACTGGCAGACTTCTCCACCTTTGTCTTAAATTTATATTGTGTAAATAATGCTTTTCTCCATTAAAATTATTTTTAACGTGATAAATTTTTAAATTTATGATATGTAATCTATATATATATATATATACATACATACATACAAAGGTGATAATTTGGTCTAGAGGAGGTTCATAAAAGATTCAAGCTAACTGAATTTAATTTAAATTTTGCAAAATTAAAAAAAAAAATGATAAGTGTTTGGGTTATAATTAATATTTTGATTATAAATAAAATTTTATATTTATATTTAATCAAATTTTTATTATTCATCCACAAGTAGAATTATAACTCCACTATTGTAAAATTAAAAAATTTAATAAAAGGAATTTAATTATGTATGAGACATATAAATTAAATCTAAAATTATGTATAACAATGAAGTAAAGACAGTGAATACAATCTGCCTTTTCTTGTGCTTTGTTCTTGATCACAATAAGAGCTCCTTGTTTCCCCTAAGAAGAAACAAAAAAAAAAAAAAAAATGTGTGTGGTTTCTCGGCCGGTGTTCGGAATACCAAGATTTCGTCAAAGTGTATAACCTGATTTTGTATGTTTCTCTTCACATCTGAGTATGTGTATGAATGTCTAGTGTCTAAAATGCAATGCTTCTTGTGGCTTTCAGCTCCTCAGGCTCAGCTGGTTCTTCTCAAACATTCTTCTGGTAACCCGTACTCTTTTTTCCGACGATCAAATTGTCTTCTCCACGGGTCATTATGCAATTTGTAGTGCAAAACCTAGTGAAGATAATATCAAGAGATGAGCAGGATTTGGAAGTAAATTATATATAGGTATAATAATCAAGCATGATATCTTTCCATAAAAGGGTATTTGAATACCGGAACCTACCCAGCAAAGTTAAAAAACTTAAAACTTGCAACAACCGGCCCAGAAGGAGAGGAAGAGAGGATTTGATGTAAATATATAGGTTAGCAAAAATAGTTCACTCAAGTACTATCTGACTATGCTTTCAAACTGCTCAAGAATCCATAAGCTTGGACAAGATGACGAAACATATAAGCTCATACTCCATTCAAGAACGAACTTTGCTCAAGAGCAACTGACCCAAGACTGAACAAATTGCCAATCCATAAAGTTTTCAATCTCCAATCTTAGAAAAGTTGTCTGAGTTATTATGAATCTAGTATGATATTTTTCGGGTAATGTTTTAGACCAGTGGATTAAAAACAAATTTCCAGGAAGAGTCACATGGACAAAAGCATAAACAAGCAGATAACATGCATATTTGTTTGTGTAGAGTAGAGTAATATATGATAAGCAGATAAAAATTTGTTCCAGGGAAGAGATATGAAGTTTGACATTTCTAAATGTCCAGGAATAGAGAAACTTTCAGTTGCACATGGTTTCAAGTATACCTGTATAAATGTCGCAAAGACATCATCTTCGCTTAACTCCAATAATTTGGCTGCCCAATCCTCCACACGCCCAAAAGCAGTTTTCTGCCTCTCAGCTTCAAGTAAAATAGAATCACGATACAAGAACCTTTGCCAGATTTTTTGTAAATTTCTCAACTTGAACTCTATCTCTGTCTCGTTAAAACCCTTCAGAATGAAAATATTACACCACCAACCAGTCAACTTGCAGATTTTTAAGTTCCAAGATTAAAAGAAAATGCAAAATACCAAAGAAAATTACCCGGAGAATATTTATTAAATTTGGAATGTCAGCTTCAAGTATTCGAACAGCAAAGCTTTTGTAGTTCAGTACATTCTCGTATGGTAGGAATATCCCATCCTAAACATGAGGAACAAACTAAGATTAAAATAGAAAGTTGGTCATTGACTTGTATGTCATATTTTCCATACGAAATAAACAATTCAGAGAAATTTTAATTAAATTCAAGAAAAAAACATTATATTATACAAAAAACCAAAAAATTGAATTGTTTCATGAACAGAAGATTTAACCACGGTACCTGGACTATCACAGGAATGCACCCTTGCAAAACACTGTCTTCCATACGACCACTCCAACCATCTCCAGGAAAGACCCCACAGAAAATAGAACTGGCTAAATCCATGTGATAATTCTGAGAACGTAGTGGAGTTACAATCACGTCATCTGCATGCTGTCTTCCAAGCTTTCCTTCCTTGTTGGGGCTTGATCCAAATTCTTCTGCCACTTTCTGCCTAATGCCCATGCTATACCTACATAGATTATGACAAACTAATTATTAGACTTCTTCCGAATCTTAAAATAGAAATAAATCCATCTTCAATAAAGTAAAAACCTTTACTGAACATGGAAGCAACAGTTTATGTTCCCATGAAATCTACAAGAGCTTGAATTCATTTACCTAAAACATGTTAAAGTGACCCATTTTGGATACTTTAAAAAGAAAAGGAGAAAGGTGTATAAGAGAAAAAAAAATGTTACTTCATGTTTTATTGGCTGTCCTTATTCACCTTCAATAAGCAAATCAGCATTCATTATTACATTGATCAGTTTTTAACTAAACTTACGAGGCTTCTGGTCTTCCATTGTTGTAGGCTGGCCCAAGGTTTCCATTGAAGTAAAATAATGTCTTCCGCTGTTCTCGGGACCTAAAAGAAATCAATTAGCACTTTAGACTTAATTGACATTAATTTAAACATACATGTTTTTCCACCAACAAATACATGCAGATATTTTAGGCAATCTGAAATGCAATTAAACGTTCGCACCTAGCCCAAAGTTTGGCGCTTAGGACATTCGCATCAGGGAGCTTCCAAGCAGGAAGTACAAGATCTTTAGCAGGGTCAAAACATGGATGATTGCCTCTCCTATCAGAAGAAATATCGTCCCAGCTGTCAGCCCAATAAGCTGTTGTTGAATGGTTATGCTTTGAATTTGTATTACCCCAGTGTACTAACATCATACTACTCCATATCTCCTTAGGAGCAGAGCAAGCACCTTCATCCCAAGAAAAGGACTGCCTTCAGATATGAGGACCATGTCATTAGCATACACGAAATACTATGTTAACCACGGAGTAAGAACACAAGTTTAGTAACTTCTTTTTCTCCACATTATGTTTTAATTCTTAATTGTAAACATACCCATATATGGTCTCTTCCTAATGAGTGATTCCAATATGGATACTGCATAACAATGTGATCATATGCCTTTTTATAGAACTCCAAAGTGAGAGAGCTCCTCAGGCCCTGATGTTCCTGAAATTTAGTGAAGAAGATACACATAAATGAGCAGTTCCATTTGGATGTCACTGAAAAATAGGCAGACCCACTAGTTTAGATAGCCAACTGATAGAGACAGAACCAAAACTGGATATGCTTATACGACCAATTCCAGGTAAAAGGAAGTATTTTAAAAGAAGTAGCACCAAAATTTCATAATACTAATAGAGATGAAGCACTAAAATGAAAATGGGTTGATAACCTCAAGGTACTTGCCCCAGGATGGTAATTGTGGAGAAAAGACATCTACATCTGCCTAAATTTTTAGGAAAATCCTTGGAATGTTACTTTTTACCATGTGGATTCTTCTTTTAGTTGACGAAACAACCTCAAGTTAAAATTTACAGTAATACTGACTTTTCTCTTTCAGAAACTTCTTTCTCAAGGCTCTCCAAGTTCACAGTCAAACATTAACATCCTCTGCAACCTTATAGCAGATGGTTTATGACCTTTAACTTCCTTTTTATTTTCATGCTTGGTTAAACACCAACAAGATCATTGTCGTTACGCTTATTAACTCCCCTAGCAAGTAGAAGGTGGTAGATCTTTATGTGAAAATCTTCTTCTACATGTACGTCGTCTACATCTATGAAAATAGCAGATTCCTTTTAAGCATCCACTTCTAGAACTGCTTACTAGAAACTGGTACTGTCATTCACTTCCTTTATCCATCACCTTTTCTTGTGGAAAAGAAATACTATTAGATAGAGAAAGAGAAGCACAATATTATTTTTTGAAACAAAGAAGCACAAAACTATTACCTTATGCTTATTCATATTTTTATTGTTTTTCCCTTTGACATGGAACATATACAAAAGAGATACATGCACTTATATGCAACATTGTTATGAAGTAGACCTGCATACTTAAGTGAGGTGCATCATCAGCACGTGTTATGATGCATGCATCAAGAACAGGAACAAAGAAAAAGTCTGCCTCTTCAGCATTTAGCGTTCGGTATGAGCTGGCTAGAATACTTTCATAGAGTGCCATCTGCAAATTTGAACCATGAAATATAGAAGAAATCAGACCATTTTTTTATTTTAATTGCTCTAGTCTGACTCCAGTTAAATTAATACCTGGGAACCATACAACTGATCTGTCCACAGAGTTGCATTCCTGCCATCATATATCCTGTTAACACACTCGAACCTAAAATGTCGCCCCTACGGTACCCAATTAAGTAACAAATATAAGAAGTTCACTTCGATAGTAGGAATAAACCGAAAGAACCAAAATAATGTCTATCCTAACCTCAAGGAGCAAACTGTTGAACTCTGGAGGTAGATCATAAACATATATAAGAGGTCTTCTCTTTTTTACCATGGCACTGAAGCTACCAAGATTTGCTGTGAGATCTGTATCACTAGGAACATTAATCCTAGCTGGTCGAAGCCACTGGGGCCACTCTTTGATCGTTGAAATGACAGAAGGAATGCTACAGTCCGTCCCGTACCAGCCTTTGTCACACTGAAATTATAAACTTCACTTAGTTGGACTTTTTTTCTTCCAGATTTAATGGGACTAATTAATAAATTTATACATACCTCATTCATTGTTTGTGGGACTGGATAAAATTTTAATTTGTACTCTTAAGTCATTATTTACCAGGAGGTCAGTACTAATTTACAGATAATAACAGTTAACTGTGTGATTCAGCAAGAATGGCCTCTGGATTAAAATCTTAGATTTTACGATGTAATCAATGCTGAGCTTTGACTTATATTTAGAGAGGTAATGGTGCTATTTTTGAGCCTTTTTTTTTAATTATTTAAGTTATTTTTTATACTTTTGTGTTTTCTCCTTCCTCAATATAAAGGATAACTCCTATTGTAAATTTCACAAGTGGCTATAAGGAGTAGACACATTACCAAGCCATTTCTGTGCTATTTCTCTCTCACACTTTTATGTTAGTTTGTGCATGCTGATGGTTATTTTCTAAGCAATCAAGACAAAGCACTGATCCATAGGTCATGGATCTTACAGCGTCATGAATGCAGTTTGCTAAGCTTCCTTTGATTCAAATATTCAAACCAAGGGACAATAAACAACCATCTACTAGAAATCCAGTATCAAAAATAGGAAGATAAATCAGGGATAAATCACATAGCAAGATAGAGAAAACAAACTTGAAAATTCCCAAACATATATATAGTCATGTAAGCACACACATGCACAAACAATTAAGCCCCAGATATCAGTTTTCAGAAATTAAGGAGCTGGAGATGAATGATGATAATGGTGATGATACCATCTAGTCTTAGAGAAAGAGTAGAAAACTTTTAAGATTGTGCCTCAATTAATTCACATAATACTTCTAGTGAAAGAAAAACAAATATAAGTTAAAGCATCCTAACATTTTTTTCTTCTTCATTATTGGCTATCCAATCGCTTCAATTATTAGATTATATATCTGCTCATTTTTCTTTGCAAGTATCTAATCGAATCATCAGTTTCCTGTAAATTCAAACTTTCTACCTGAAACTATCACGAGTGTAGAAGTACAAATGACTTAGCCTTGTGATATAGAGCCATTTCTGCATTATAAATTTCATAAGTCCTTATAGTCCAAATTCAATTCTCTGATTTGGCTAACTGTCGGGGCTTTAAATACCCTCTACTTGGTGAAACATTTCCTTTACTTTTTTGCTATTTAAAAAGATGCCAATATTTAACTCAAAAACTCCAAGTTTTTACCTTCCAACTTAATATACCTCAGATTTGTACAATTTTAACCTGGTGGACAGAATAAATTAGTTTGCCAATTTTGCAATGACCAATCAATGGTGAATAGACATTAATAACAAAGCCATTACCTGACAGAATCCGCCACGACAATGCCCATGTCCAGAACACTGATTAATACAAGTGCATTGGACAGGTATTTCACAGAATCGTCCCCAGAGACAATCATATTTACAGTTACATTGCTCTTTAAATTTCACCCTAAAAGCATATGCTTCAGCTGGATCGACATTACACCATCCAGGTTTGCTACCATTTGTTGTAAAAATGTTATCTAGGTCAGCTTTTGCCCAATCAGTCAATATGGGTCCTCCAGGCTCTGAAGGTAAACTGAAACAGAGACATCGTCAGGGAGTTGTGACCTATAATGCCTAGAGATCAGAGAAATATCAACAATATATGTTAGAACCTAGATATGCTTACTTCGCTTGGAACCCACAAGCCTCGGCAACTGGCCGATTTGGATACTTCGTCCCTTCTCCACAAAAGCACATTGCTCTTGTTGTGTCACAATAAGCAGAACAAATTGACACAACCCATCGGCCATATGGTAGCTCGGAGGTATTTTGGTTATTACAACTTAAGTGAAGTCTCTCAGAACATCCTTCCCCTGTTCAATCAGCAGCTATTTTTCAGCTAACAGCTATAAGAGGAGCATATATAGTTGTGAATACTTATTTTCTTTTCTGACTTCTAGTTTTTCCTGCTTTCTATGTTTATTAATAAATTTTTATGGAAACAACAGAACCCAGATAAAACATTTTACTGTTCCATTTTATAATGTGGATGTTTCAGAACCTCAATTAGCAGTTATCACTAAAAGAGTTGTACAAAGGTTAATATTCAGATCACTACTGACTACTACATTCTTTTCAAATTCTTATTCTTTCCCCTTTTTTAAGAGGGAGGATTGCAGGAGGAGATTTTGAGAGTCAATGTCTTATAAGCCACAAATTTGAGTAATAGAAGACCAAAATATTTGTCAATTTCTAATGTGACTATATATGTTTAAATTTAGGCTGGTTCTTCTTTTCCAGAATCAACTTGTGAAGAACAATATAGACTCAACTCCTCTTAAATCTCTCCAACCCATCATCTCCACATTTGTTGTGTGAAAAGGAACAAAAATCCCTATGCAAAGTGATGCTGAAGCAGGAAGGGAAAGAAAATACTAACCTCTGAAGCCGTGAAAGCACCTACATTGTCCCAAATCATGATTACAGACACCTTGACCACTGCAGTCATACATGCAGTTTCTACCACCTATTGGCTGCCAATAGAAACAACTAAGAAACTGGTAAACCAGAAGTAAAGCTAAAGTAAAGTTATTGTCACCTTATATTTCGAGAAAGGACCTAAAGAAAACAAAATAAACAATTTGTCCACGGGCATGCATATTGATATAAAAATTCACTGCGCCTTGGCAGATGAAAAAGACAAATAAAAAGAGGAAAAGAAAGGGAAAATCGACAATACAACTAAAACTCAATAAACCAGTAGCAGCCAGTGTTCCTACCTCAATAATATCAGTTTCCTTAGTAAATTCATCACAAGCAGAAAGCCACTGTCCAATCTCAGCCTTCCAGGAGGCATTGCGATGAATGACTGCCCCATGCAAGTCAGCAGGGAAAGTATGATTTAATCCAGGTGTGGTTGTGAATTTCCTCGAGCAAGGTCGATTGATCCTACATTAGAACTCTGAATTGCCACTTCTTCAACCGACCCATTGATGGGAACACATCTATTCTGAACTTGAGAGGCACTAAAGTAACTAAAAGAAGGCACTGCAGGAACAAGGAAAATATGAACTCACCGAAACGAGCATTATGATAGAAGCAACGGTGGCTGCAATAGACCATGAAGGCTTCCATTTCTGGGAAGAAGACATAACCTACAACAACCGTGTCTCTACAACCACCTCTATAAAATCACCCCCTGACATGAATAAACAATCGAATTTTAAGGCAATGATAGGTAATCGCAATCAAAGTAGACTTTGACTTAACAATACATCATCACAACAGCAAACTGGACCCCTATGACGCTAGTAAGCTCAAAACAAACACAGAAATGAATAAACCTGAACAAAATCAAAGATAATGCTCGTGAAACCCTATAAACGAAACACAGTGCCAGAATCGTACAGCCCTTTATGCTTGTAATGATCTCAATACTAAACTCAAATGTCAGAAACTAGCGCACAACTACATAATATCTCATATGAAAAACTGAAATTGTGTTGAATTTCACGCAAAGGTGATAAATAGACACGAAAACGCAGATTGCCGTATGCAATTATCCACCAAGACGATTGAATAATAGCCATTTTAAATTACGGAAGAGCATTGACCAACCTTAATTCAGATCTGAACTTCAGCTTCCGAAGATGACAGACGCCTAAGGGAATTCAACGGAGAATTTCGAATGCAAAAGACAAAACATATCAATCTGAATCTTATTAACTATATACTATCAACTAATCACGAGGTGAGACAGACAAAAAAACGGAAGATTCCTACTGAATCCACCATTAATAAAAATCATATTAACGAAGAAGGAAAAGACAATAGACTCTGTACAAAAGCCGCCAAGGGCTCTCGCTGTGAAATTTTGAACCAGAGCCGAGCAGTGGCTATAGTTTTCCGTTAAAATGACTGCAATTACCCTTCTCGTTTCTCCTTTCCTCAATATAATATTCGTCAGAGCGTTGGGTTTGAATGATATAAAATAGTTTTCTTAAGGGTAATCTCGTCATTTCATGTTCTTCTCCTTTCAGTTTTAACCAAAACTTTTTCTTTTTGGGTAAATTTATTAATTATTATCCTGATAATAATAGAATAAAATAATTTTTTAATTGTAAATAAATATTACAATAAATAAATTACTAAATTAATTTTTTTAAAAATTTATAAAATCAAATCTGAAATTGAGGTCCGAACGTGAATTATTTATGGTATTATTAATTATTGTCTTTAATTAATTTTGAAGTCAACTATTCAACATTTTTTTAATTATTTACTCGAATATTTTTTAATAATAATATACAAATATTATGGTAATAAATCAAGAATATGTAAACAACATCATATTCACCTAATTGTTAAAATCTAATTTTTTTAATGTGTTACGAGTTTGTTACGGTTAATTTATAATACTTAATTTAATATGATTTAAAATTTAATTTATTAACATATTAGTAGGAATACGGTAATCAAATCTGACTATACTTCAACGAGTCTGTACGTAAAAATATTTTTTATTATAAGCTGATGATAGTTTATTTATAATACTTAATTTAATATGATTTAAAATTTAATTCATTAGCATATTGGTAGGATTGCGGCAATCAAATCTGATTATACCTCAACGAGTCTGAACGTAAAACTTAATTTAGTATGATTTAAAATTTAATTCGTTAGCATATTAGTAGGATTACGGTAATCAAATCTGATTATACCTCAACGAGTCTGTACATTTTTTTGACAAAAATAATATTTTGTGGTAGTAAAAATATTTTTTGTTATAAATTGATGATAGTTTATTTATAATACTTAATTTATTAAAACTTTATAACTGAATTCATTCATATATTAATTGAGTTACGGTAATTAAATTAAACTAAACTCAACAAATTTGTATATTTTGGCAAATAAAATATTTTTTTATAAATTGAATTTGATTTTTTTTAATGGCAATTATACATTTTTTTTGTTAAAATATTTATTTTTATACTATTTTTAATAATGCATTTTAAGATGATAAGTCAAGTAATTATTGATCTTGCTCCTTTAATAATTATAGATGATTCATAAAAATTCAATTACTCAATTCTTCAACATAATGGTAAATAATTTATTTTGTTACTAGCTAAAAATAGTTATTCGTGGGTTAAAATACTATATAACATTAAGATAATATAAAGTAAATTCAAAATATTTCAAATATGAAATATCACATTTGAAAAATAGATTATAGATTCGAATTAGCATGCCTTGTAAAAGCCCAAATTCTCTATTAAGGATTTTAAGTGTTTTAACTTAATCATACTGATAGTAATTCTGAAATTTTAATTTAGCGTAATAATTAAATGTTAAAAAATTATATTTTTTTCGCGTTTACTTAAAACTTCCAAATATGGGCTATGGGAATGTTTCGGAACTTAAAACGAGAAAATCACTAATAAATAAATATAATTAACCTCTATTCAAAATTTACGAAACGAAAAAAAAGTAGTTGTTTAGTTGATCTCTTGTTGTTTAGGATTCTGATATTGGTCGTCATTATCTGAAATGGTTAATAAAAAAGAAGTGAACTATACTAGTTCAATAAGAATATCAACACCTTACCACTGGTATGGAAAATAAAGTGACTGTAAAAAAATATAAAACGACCGATAAAGCATAATTTTAATGAAATTTGAATGCTAGTGCATTTATTTTCTGATGTACTAAAAACGTTAATATTCCATTTTCTGGCTAATAGCATATCAAACACAAAACAATAAATAAAATCAGAATGATGATTTAATCATAATAAGCATACATTCCAATAAACATACAATGTTGGGTTCTTTACCGTTTTACCCGAAATTGGGTTTTCATATCATACTCATTCCTGTATTACCCGATTTATTTTTTTCTATCATTATCACTAGGGGTCCATAGGGATCCCTACTACGCGTGAATACATAAAATTTTCATGTAAATTATCGGTTGTTCTCATACCTTGTCCGATAATATGCATCACGATACTAAAAACTGTCTCAATACCTCGTCCGGTATGAACAAAATCAATTTTCTCCTAACTCTATCCAGTATGGGACTTTCTAGCCTTGTACGGCTGAAGATAATATTCACAGTAGGGTTTATCCTATGTATCAAGTCTGTACACTATTTTATACGATACCTGATAAGTCATTTCATTCAATAACATTAATTTATGCATACTTTTTCTTTTTATTATTATTTAGAAATTAATAACACGTATGCCCATATCCCAAACAACACCAGAGTACAAAATTCAGATTTCGAAATGCGTAAGAGAATACATTTGTAAATAGAAATATGATAAAATAGGATAGTATAATCAGAACTTTAAATGTCACGATACGATGAATAACAAATGAAACGAATAAATCAAGACGAGATTAAGTATAGTAGAACGTGATAATAAAACGGAATAAAATAAATAATAACAATTCAAAAATACATAATTAGTATATTGTGTAACACCCTTTTACTATTTTTGTTATAGGATTATACATTATTCATCATTCTACCTAGAACAAAGTATTTAGAACCTCTAACCAAATCTCATATCCATTAATTCGTAAAGAAATCAATTTTCGTTACAATAATAAACTATATAATTAAAGAAACTCTCAAACTATCACCATACACATAGAAGTTTTAATAATATTTCAATACAGTGAGTATACTACTATGTCTCATTATAATTGATAACATCTTATTTCTTTTAGGTCCGGTGCTTCGTTGCTAAGCACTCCGTTTTTGATTATCGTCTCAAAGCATCTGAAAATGAAAGTAATGAGTATACATAACCCAATGAGATGAATTTTAGAACTAAAAACTAACGAATGACAATTAAATAACCTCATTCCCTACTATCATTTCTTTACTTCTATCATTATGTTTTTCTCCCTTGATAATCAATAAATGACAAAACTACTCCCTCTTAATCCCACCTAACCCCTTACCGTTAGCCTCTTCATGTTCAAACTACATAACAGAAATGCACTATACCCCTTTGTTTTAACCATAATACCTTACTAATTCAATGCAATTTTAGTAGTCCCTACGCTACACCCACACAGCCTCTCAATCTACCCCACCAGTCTCTCACACATCCTTTCCAATACCGGCCCACCAAGACCACACACACACCCCCTCGCTGGATCCTGGGCCCCCACCCCAACAGTAACCACAATCACCATGTCGGCCATTACATGGCCTCGTGCACCATCACACTATAATATCAAATACACACCGCTATTCTCGTGACAACGACCACTGAATGGTCCCACCGAACTCCACCAATGTCGGTTAATGACCTCACACACACCTAACAATGTGAGTGCTCTATCAACCGCCAAGTGGCCATAAATACAACATGTCACTACTCATCACATCGGCACATCCATATCTACAAGCATCGGCCAAAGAATTTACACACACACACACACAGTATGCCACTAATTGCCACACCAACATATCAGAATCTATAAACACTGGCCAATAGGCCTCCCACACCCAAGTACATATACATACACACACCATATATTTCCCACAGCCTACACACTATAACATGTAAACCCTAACAAACCCCCACCCACTTACAACTACACACACACAGACTACGGACCACCATCCCTGCATAACAGAAGGTGTCTCCCTCGACCAAACAACCTTACACACCCCCACACCTGAACCTACACCCACCATAAGTCACCCATCGCCTATACTTATACTTATACAATAATGTATCCCAATCTCACATTTACCTCACCTATCGAGTACACACAAATTTCTCATCCAAAAGCTTTGTCCTGTTCCCACAACACCTCAAGTTCACTTATCTCCGTCACACACTCGACTACCAAACCGTACACATCTCTCTATAGTGTGTTCCCTCTCCCTTCACATACCTCAGCTTCTCTTACACTTCTTGAGCTATCACAACTCCTATACTTTTGTCTCATTGACATGGAGCATTTCCATTAACCTGCACATACAATTTCACCATGGTTTGCCCTAAATTAGTTTATAATTTTAAATTCCTTTTACCTCTTGCTTCCATACTCCTCTATCTCCCAAAGCTACTGCAACCTCACTTATTCCCGAACTTCTGAGCAGTTCTCCTTCCACACTTGCCGCTGATTAACGCCTCTCACAATTGTCTCCTCTCTCTCTCATGCACTCTACGTTTTACCTTTTCCCTTCTTTCCATCTTCTTTCTTTCCTCTCTCTGTTCGACGCCCTTTTATACCCATCCCAACTTCACATCCTGACCGTTGATTTTGCCCATCCCATCCCAATCGTTCATTCCACCCTCCCACATATATATAGGGTATTACATATTGATTCTAGATAAATATAGCTAAAAAAAAATGAAAAAACATATTAGCCCGAACGAGAGAATATAGATTATAGTAAAATAAGATAAAATAAATTAAGTAGAACAAAATAAAAATAAATAGATAAAATAAAATGATAATAGAATATCGAATAGATAACATAATTAAACTAGTGATAAACATAAATAAGTTAGTTACTGGCTCCATCGACAACCTGTATTTAATTATCAAGGAATCATAAGACTGTTTAGTACAACCATTTGTTATCAATTCAACTTTAATTTACCGTAACAAATAAAATATTGAGGGATTCTTACATTGGGTCGGAGTCTAGGACACTACCTTTTTTATTACTGTTCGTGACAATTTTCGGTTTTTGAATTTATTGAGTTTCTTGGTAAAATTTAAAAATGCACATAAAAGGGCATGCAAATACGTAGAGAATGTGAAAAAGGCAAAAAAACTCACCAAGGGTTGGGTTGGGGTTCTGGTGTGGCGGTGTTGCCGAGCTGCGCCGTCCGGTTCTCATTTTTCAATACTTCTCCCTTTCGATCAAACCGTTTTTGGCCAGTTCCTGGTGGAAATTAGTTTAAATCGTGAAAAATGGGTGTTTTACGGAGAATGGAGGGGAAAGTTTTGGCCTTATCGGCAATTTTCGCTCTCTGATGTGGCGGCTCAGTCAAGCTCCGCTGTCCCTCTCTCGTGGTTTATGGCTTCTCTCGATTATCCTACAAACGAGAATGGTTCAGATAGTTAAGGACAGAGAAACAGGAAGAACGAAACAAAAAATTAGGCTTACTGGAATGTTTTGGTGGCTGAGCTCTCCTCCGGTCGCTGTTCTTCTTCTTTTCCAATCACCTGTGTCGGCTAGGATTTTGGGGGTCGACTGAAAAGAGGTTTAAACACTTCTCTTTGATAAATCTGGGTCGTCCATTCGGGAGGCGTGGAGGCACGTAGACTGTCCAATTAGTCTATTTGGGAAATTTATTGGGTCCGTCTGATCTGGGAGACTTGGAGGCATGCAGACCATCTGAACAAACCCTTTTAGGAAGTCGATATGGACCGTTCACTCATGTAGGAGTGGCCCCGAGCCATTCGATCAGCCTGGTATGCAGATTGCCAGCGTGGGCTTCCCGTGTGGAGCCATGTTGGCGTGACCGTCATGCGGCGTGCGACGATTCGTCGTGCTGCTGACTGGGTGTCCACGTAGCTCATTTCTTCCCTTTTCGCGAATTGACCCCTACATTCTGAATTTCTTTTCACATTGATCCCCTTTTATTTATAATTGTACCCAGACGTCTGAATTTATTTTTAAAAATATCCAAAATTAACCCTTTAATTATTTATCTATCATTTGGTGATAAATTAATTTTTATCAACTCTTTTTATGATAAAATAGAAATCAAATTGAGACAAATGAGTAGAAATCCATGAATTTAAACGAATCAAAATATTTTTGTCCATTCAAAATTAAAAGGTTACGTCTCAAATTCGGAGTGTTGTTACATGCCTAATATGTTTTTTTGAAGAATTAACAAGCTTTAATTTAATTTAATGGTTATTCAAATTTTAATTTAAGATAAATATTTAAAATTTAATTATTATCTAACATAAAAATTAAAATATATAATTTTTTTTAAAAAAATATCTTAGGAGACAAAATATATATATATATATATATATAAATAAAAATAATTATGCACGAAATTAAATAGAGCCATCTACCTCATAATCAAGATTGCCTAGATTGTAACGCCCGTGCCAGCGTGGCTTCACTCTAATAAATATGCCAGCGTGTACTGTTTATTGTTTATTATTTTGTTTTTACTGTTTTTTTAAATTAAATATAATTATTTACACTTCAATTAAATATAAATTAAGTTGTAATAAAAAATTTAAAAGTGATTAGCGATATAATTAATAGTTTAATGACTAAATTAGTAATTTCCCCTTTGGATAATTTTTCAGTTCAAATTATATAACCGATAAGTTCAACATACGTGGTAGTATCACGTTATTTTTAATTTTTTAATTTTCCATTTGTGTTTTAATTTTTGTAATGATTGTGGGGATGACTAATTTTCGCACGTCTAATTATATGCGTAAATGTGGATTTGACCAAAGTGTTTTGGTGCATGAATATATATCATATAATAGAAAATATGTACAGTTTAAATAATTAATTATAACAATATTATTAATTTTATTGTATCATTATAATTAATTTAATTAATTAATAAAATAAAAATATTAGGAATTAAATTATAACAAAAAAATATTAAAAATTTTGGAAATTAAAATTAATTATTTAATTTTTTTTTAATGTAACAAATACATTTCGTGGGCATTAATTAAAACATTAAGTACACAAATATATGCCTTACACGGAATTAATTATTTATAATTAACCATAAAAGTTGGTAACCAAAAATTGATTTTTAAAATATTAAAATTTTAAAACAAGTAATTAGACTACGCACTGAATTGTAAATAAAGAAAAAGTGATTTACATATATAAATATATAGTAAGAAGAATTTAGTGAAAAAGTTTAGTTATAAATATATAAATAATATTATTATGTGTGTAAAAAATATTAACAGTACTTCACTCAAACGGATCGGATCCTACCCGAGAGCGCCACTGATTTGTACCGAAATCACCAGGACCCGACCCGTCGCCGACTTGAGGTGTAAATGAGACGATTCTTTGCAGAGACCTGATTGCCATGAGCTACTGTCGTCTTTTTTTTTTTTTTTTTTCTTGAAATGAGAAACTGCTTTTAAGGCTCTCTATCTTCA